CTTGAGCTGAAGAGCTGAGGGACAGCACCCAGGCCCAGAGTTCAGACCCACAAACGAACCAAAAAAAAAAAAAAAAGACCAATCCCAACCGAAAAGTTTGAGTTTCTATGTCCAATTAACCAGCAAAATGCCACACTGCTGGCATAGTTCAAGGGGTAGGGCATCAACAATAAGCAATCAAATTGAGAGAGTGAAACACTGAATTCAAGCTCCGATAGCAATACACACACACACACACACACACACTCTTTCTCTCTCTCTCGCTCATGGAATGAAACACAAAACTCAAAATCTCAGCACCTGAGGCCAGGTTGTTGTTCAATGTTATAGTTCTTGTCTAACATGCATAAGTCTCTGGGTTTAATTCCCAGAACGGCAAATAAGAATACTAATAAAACTTAGCACTTCCTACAAAACTACAGTAATTCAGACAGTGTGATATTGGCACAAAGACAGACATATACATCAATTGAACAAAATTAAGAGTCTGTAAGAACTAGGAAAGTTGCTGGGCACTGGTGGCTCATGCCTTCAATCATAGCTACTCAAGAGGCTGAGATTTGAGGACCACAATTCGAAGCCAGACTGTGAGACTCTTTGATGTAAAGTGACTTAACCTAAAGCACTCTCTCATCTCCCTCCCCCCCCTGCCCCCTAGCCATATCTTAGAACTGTCCTTGGATGCAGACCCTGCTGAATCATCTCTCCTCCCCATCTCCCCCCCCCCAACAAACATACCCTAAGGTTTTGGAGACTAGAGCCTGAGACAAGGGCCCTGTCTGATGCTGATGCACAGAGGCTGTTGAGACCTTGAAACTCCTCAGTCAAAATAACATTGCTCATACATCCACCTCCATCTCACCCTACTTCCATCAGCCTCCCCCGCCCCATACCAACTTCACTCTTTTCTTGCTAATATTTAAAGAGCCCTAGTTGTAAGAGGGAGGGAGGGCACGCCATTTCTCCTTCAGGCATGCTGAAGGAGTGCCCTTCCCAGGGTTCATTCCTAAATAAATAAAGCCGTGTATGTGTGTGTGTGTCGGTCAGGGGGCCTGAACTCTGGGCCTGGGCGCTGTCCCTTAGCTCTTCAGCTCAAGGCTTGTGTTCTACCATTTGAGCAACAGCACCACTTCCGGCCTTTTCTGCTTATGTGGTGCTGAGGAATCGAACCCAGGGTGCCTCATACATGCAAGGCAAGCACTCTACCACTGAGCCACCTCCCAGCCCCGTTTTTTTTTGTGGTCCGGTTGTGGGGCCTGAACTCTGGGCCTGGGCGCTGTCCCTCAGCTTTTCAGCTCAAGGCTAGCGCTCTACCACTTGAGCCACAGCGCCACTTCTGGCTTTTTTATCTTTTTGCTTATGTGGTATTGAGGAATCGAACCCAAGGCCTCATGCATTGCAAGGCAAGCGCTCTACCACTGAGCCACCTTCCCAGCCGCCCCTGTTGGTTTTTTGAGTTCACTTTTTGCCTTTTATTCTGATACTGTCATGACTCAGTTTCCTTATATTCATCTCCAATAAACTTTTCAGAGGCCAGAAGTGATACTGTAGCTCAAGTGATAGAGTAGTAGCTTTTAACTAAAGAAGGTCAGGGACAGTGGACAGCACCCAGGCCGAGTTCAAGCCCCAGGACAGGCCAAAAAAAAAAGAACTGAGAAAGTGGCTCAAGTAGACTTGTCTAACAAGCATAAGGCCTTGAGTTCAAGCCCACATACAGTATAATTTTGGGATCCATGAGTATATTATTACAAGGAGACCACTTCTTAAGGAAAACCTACAAATGCTCAAGACACAGAATTCAGTACTGTATTGCAGATGCTCAATTCATTTCTCCATAATGCTGCCCAACTCCCACTAAAGACATGCTGCCCCTGTCATCAAATCTAAATTTTCACATCACCACTTAAACATAATAACTTGTAGTTTTCTTTTTTGGGAATAGGCAAATACTTAGCAGATCACAGGATAATTTAAACAAAACTGAACATAACATGGGAATGAGAGCTTCTCTGTGCCCACTGAGCTTTGTAGTATATGCAAAGCAATTCAAATCTTTTGCTTTTGAGTAACAGTCATTGTTTTTTTAACCACAATGCTCAAAACCACATGCAATAAATCTGCAAATAAGGTGGGCTTATTATACTATCAAAAAGAAAATAAGAAGAGTCTATAAATAAATTCATGCATATATTTATGATCAATGAATTTTCAACAATGATACCAAGACAATTAAATGAGAAAATAATTATTTTTTTGGTTGGTTGTGGGTCCTGAACTCTGGGCCTAGGCACTGTCCCTCAGCTCAAGGCCACTGCTCTACCACTTGAGTCACAGCATGACTTCCAGCTTTTTTTTTTTTTTTTTGCTTATGTGGTGCTGAGGAATTGAACCCAGGGCCTCATGCATGCAAGGAAAGCACTTATCACTGAGCCACATTCTCAGCCCTGAGAAAATAATTTTTAAAACCAAATAGTAAACTGAGTACCAGTGGCTCATGCCTGTAATCTTAGCTATTCAGGAGGCTGAAATCTGAGGATCATGGTTCAAAGTCAGCCGAAGCCGGAAAGTCTGTGAGAGTCTTATCTCCACTTAACCACCTAAAAGCCAGAAGTGGCACAGTGGCCCAAAAGTGTGGCTCAAAAGCTCACTAGCCTTGACCAATAAAAGCTCAGGGACAGTGCAAAGGCACTGAGTTCAAATTTATTACTGACAAAAAAGTTGTTTCTGGAAAAACTGGACATCCACATAAAAGAATACCATGAAGACTATCTCAGATCACAAACAAAAATGAACTCAAGTGAATCACAGCCTAGCAGATAGTCATAGTGTTGATAATTGTGGGCAGTGATTCATTTATACAAACAGCATTTGTCACCTATCTAATACTGTTCTAGGGGGCTGGGAAGGTGGCTCAGGGGTAGAGTGCTTGCCTTGCATGCATGAGGCCATGGGTTCGATTTCTTAGCACCACATATGCAGAAAAAGCTGGAAGTGGTGCTGTGGCTCAAGTGGTAGAGTGCTAGCCTTGAGCTAAGAGCTAAGGGACAAGAGCCCAGGACCAGAGTTCAGCCCCCACGACCGACAGGAAAAAAAAACAAAACTGTTCTAAATGTGAGAGATTCAGTACAAAAGGCAAATATCATTTTTAAGGACATAATACTCTAGAGAGGGAGTGACTGGGTAGGGAATAAATAGCAGACACTGATATTGAAGACAGACAGGAAAGAAAAGGTCAAAGTTACTGAAAAGTCAGCACATCTGGAGAACATTTTTACCAGCCAGATTATTTAAAATGCATTGCTCTCTCTTTTCTTTTTTCTTTTGGTTGGTAATGGGGCTTAAACTCAGGGCTTTGGCTCTCTGCCCCTGAGCTCTTTTGCTCAAGGCTAGCACTTAAAACACTTTGACCCATAATACCATTTCTAGTTTTCTGGTGGTTAATTGGAGATAATAGTCCCATGGATGCCCAGGTTGGCTTCAAACAGATCTCAGCCTCCAGTGGTACCCAGCTCTTTTCTCTCTCTCTCTCTTGTTGGTCATGGGCTTGAACTCTGGGCCTGGACACTGTCTCTAAGCTCTTCAGCTTAAGGCTAGCACTCTACCACTGAGCCACAGTACCACTTCCATTTTTCTGGTAGTTAACTGAAGAGTCTCCTGGACTTTCCTACCCAGGCTGGCTTTGAACCTTGATCCTCAGATCTCAGCCTCCTGAGAATTACAGGCATGAACCACCGGTGCCCAGTTTCTTTTTCATTTTTATTTTTGCAGTGTTGGAGATGAAAATCAAGCTAGGCAAGCACTCTACTACAAAGCTACATAACTAGATGACATATTATGCTATTTTTTTTTTTTGGTCAGTCCTGGGTCTTGAACTCAGGGCCTAAGCACTGACCCTGGGTTTTTGTGCTCAAGGCTAGTGCTCTGCCACTTTGAGCCACAGCTCCACTTCTGGTTTTTATGCGGTTAATAGGAAATAATAGTCTCACTGCATTTCCTGCCTGGGCTGGCTTTGAATCTCAATCCTCAGATCTCAGCCTCCTTAGCCATCATAACCTAGCTAATATTATCACCTTCTATTTCCTTCTTTCCTTCCTTGCACTCCTCTTCCTTTTTTCTGTTTTTGTTTTTGCCAGTCCTGGGACTTGAATTTAGGGCCTGGGCACTGTCCCTGAGCTTTTCTGTTCAGAGCTAGCACTCTAGCATTTCAGTCACAATTCCACTTCCATCTTTTTGGCAGTTAACTAGAGTTAAACATCTCAAGGACTCTCCTGCTCAGGCTGATTTTCCTGATTTCAGCCTTCAAAGTAGTTAAGATTATAGGCGTGAGCCACAACCTAGCTATTTGCTATATATATACATTTTGTGTGTGTGTGTGAGAGAGAGCTAGCATGCCTGAAGCCCAGGGTTCAATTCCTCAGTACCACATAAACAGAAAAAGCTGGAAGTAGCGCCGTGGCTCAAGCAGTAGAGTGCTAACATTGAGCAAAATGGATTGGCAAAAAAAAAAAAAAGAAAACTGAAAGTGACACTGAGGTTCAAAGTGGTAGAGCACAGGCTGGGAAGGTGGCTCAGTGGTAGAGTGCTTGCCTTGCATGCCTGAGGCCCTGGGTTCGATTCCTCAGCACCACATAAGCAAAAAGAAAAAAGCCGGAAGTGCCACTGTGGCTCAGGTGGTAGAGCGCTAGCCTTGAGCTGAAGAGCTGAGGGACAACGCCCAGGCCCAGAGTTCAGGCCCCATGACCGGAGGGCCCCCCCCAAAAAACAACAACCACCACAAAGTGGTAGAGCACTAGCCTTGAACACAAAAGCTCAGGGATAGAGCCCAGGTGCTGAGTCCAAGCCCTATGACCAACAGAAAAAACAAAACAAACAAGACAGAAAAACACTTAAGTATGTAAATATAAATACAGTCAAAGTATGCATGAGGATTGGTTGCAAAACTGCACATGAATATACAAAAATTTTCAGATGCTCAAACCCCTTATATGAAAAGATACAATATTAACATGTAAGTACAATCTCCTATACACTTTAAATAATCTCTACATTATTTATAATACAATGTAAATGATGTGTAAGTAGTTATTACTCAAAATTTCTTGGACAGGGGCTGGGAAGGTGGCTCAGTGGTAGAGCGTTTGCCTTGCATGCCTGAGGCCCTGGGTTTGATTCCTCAGCACCACATAAGCAAAAAGAAAAAAGCCGGAAGTGGCGCTGTGGCTCAAGTGGTAGAGTGCTAGCCTTGAGCTGAAGAGCTGAGGGACAGCGCCCAGGCCCAGAGTTCAGGCCCCATGACCAGACCCAAAAAAAAAAAAAATTTCTTGGACAATGAAAAGAACATTCAGTGCAGGTACAATTTTTTTACAGACTATTTTCACCCATGGTTAGTTGACTCTATGGGTAGAGAACCCAAAGATATGGAAGACAGAATGTATAATTTGAACAATTTGTATGAGTAGATTTCAGCATAAATATGAACTAATACCAGATTCCCTCCTCTCTTTGCCAAGGAGGATCACAAAACAGACTAACACTGAACTTTAAGAGGGGGAGAGCAGGAGGGCATGCAGAAATTAGCAGAAAGAAGGAACTGACAAAGTTGAAATACAATTTGTTTATTTCACAATCCCTTGTAGTCTACTTTCACCCTTGGACACAAATACCAAACAGCCGTTCAAAGTGTTCTTAGGTCTCTCTGTTTAAGTAAATAGATAAGCTATGTCAATACTTTACTAAGAAAAACTGTGGGTAGAAGTGGAGCTATGGTTCAAACAATAGAGCGCTAGCCTTGAGCACAAAAGCTCAGGGACAGTGGCCAGGCCCCAGGACTGGCACACACAAAACATACAAAAAACAAAAACAAAAATAAAAACTATGGCTACAGCCAATTTACAATGACTATCAGTACTGTGAACACATGAATAGAGTGGGGCTTGAACTCTGAGCCTGGGCACTGTGCCTGAGCTTTTCAGCTCAAGGCAAGCACTCTACCACTTGGGCCATATCACCAATTCCAGTTTTCTGGTGGTTAATTAGAGATAACAGTCTCACAGACTTTCCTATCTGGGCTGCCTTTGAACCTCAATCCTTAGATCTCAGCCTCCTGAGTAACTAGGATTGTAGGCATGAGCCACTGGCACCCCAGTGGACTTTCTTTTTCTTCCAGTATTGAGGTTCTTTGAGCTCAGGGCTTCATACTTACTAGGCAGGTACTCCACCACTTGAGCCATGCCTCTAGCCCTTTTAGTTCTGCATATTTTTACTAGAGTCTCATATTTTGTCCAGGCCAGCCTGATATCCTGTTTATACTTCTTCCCCATAGTTAGGATGACAAATGTGTACCATCATATCAAGATTTTTCTGTTGAAATAGGGTCTTGAGAACTTTTTGCCCAGGCCAGCCTGAAAAACATGATTGAATATCTACCTCTTAAGTAGTTAGGATTACAAGTGTGAGCCACCAGGGAGAGCTGGATTTTCTGTTGTCACTTAACTGAAGAACTTGACCTAAAATTTCTGTAAAATTAGGTGTTTTTTGTGTTGTACAACAACAAGCACATGTGAAATGGAAAGACTTGGAAAATATTATATTAAGTGAAGTAAGCCAGGCCCAAAGAAACATAGGCCCCATGGTTTCCCTTATTTGCAATATCTAGTATATGTCTGAGTCAAGCAGAAAAGGTCAGATGAGGTGATGTTAGGGAAATGAACCCTAAGATATGTACTCAAATGTTTTTTTCTTTCATGCAATTGTTTCTAACACATTTATAAAGCCGGGCGCTGGTGGCTCACGCCTGTAATCCTAGCTACTCAGGAGGCTGAGATCTGAGGATCGCGGTTCAAAGCCAGCCTGGGCAGGAAAGACCGTGAGACTCCTATCTCCAATAAACCACCAGAAAACCGGAAGTGGCGTTGTAGCTCAAGTGGTAGAGTGCTCGCCTTGAGCTGAAGAGCTGAGGGACAGCGCCCAGGCCCAGAGTTCAAGCCCCACGACCGACAAAAAAAAAACAAAAAAAACCACATTTATAAGATTATTTCTTTGTTGCTTTGTATGTCCTTCCCCCACAGTATAACCCCTGTTTTCACTGTATTTGATGTCGGTATAATTTGTGGAGGGGAAGGGGAAAACAAATCGTTTAAATAGGGATACAGGTTTAAATAGGGATACAGGTTTAAATAGGGATACATTGCAACAATGAGATGTACAAGTCCTTATATCGAAAACGAACTTTACAACTTTGGTGGGGGGGTGGGGGAGCGGGGAGGATCGGGTGGGGGGGGGCAGGGGGAGGATGGGAAGGGGAAACAAAGGAGGAGGCTACAATTACAATGCTTGATAAGAAATGTACTCATTATCTTGCCCATGTAATTGTACCCCTCTGTACAGTATTTTCACAATAAAAAAAAAAATAAAAACCCCTTAAATTAAAAAACCAAAACAAAACAACAAGCACATGTGTGGCTTAGCAATATAGTAGGGCACCTTAATAAGTAAGTAGTCCTGAGTTTGAACTCCAGTACTGTCCCTCCCCCTCAAAACCCAAAGCACAAAGCGAATAATAATGAAGGCACAAAAAGTATTCAAACCTACCTGCAAAATATGTGGTCACACTTTGTGGAAACAGGTTCTTTGATTAATTCCAGACTAGAAGAGAGGAGGAAAAAAATTAGAGAAAATAAGACTAAATAATTCATTTAAAAATAATGAAGTTCAATTTTTTTTTTTGGGGGGGTTGGTTGTGGGCACACTGTTCCTCAGCTCTTCAGCTCAAGGCTAGTGCTCTGCCACTTGAGCCACAGTGCCACTTCCAGTTTTCTGGTGGTTAAGTGGAGATAAGAGTCTTATGGACTTTCCTGCCTGGCCTGGCTTTGAACTATGATCCTCAGATCTCAACTTCCTGAGTAGCTAGGATTACAGGCATGAGCTATTGGTGCCTGGCTATGAAGTTCAACTTTGAAGTTCATTGAATACTTATCAAATGTCTGCTGAGCAAAGCACTTAGTGACAAGCACTTGTACAAGGTCCTCCTGGGTTTTATCCTCTGTACCTCCCAAAAAGTCAAAGCTGATTAAATGAAATATTAAATGGAAGATTCCAGAAAAAAGCAATATAAATTTTTAATTGTAGGCCATTCTGAGAATGTGATGAAACCTCACCCCATACCTCCCAAAACATGAATCACTCCTTAGTACAATATATCCAAGTTGTATTCATTATCTGTCTGTTAGTCATTTAGCAGAGGTTTGGGCTATTAAATCAAGCATTAGGGTAGAAGCACTAGTAGTCAAGTAACCTCTATTTTACTTAATGTGCTCACAAAGCACAAGAATAGTGGTGCTTCCGGTAGGTGAAAGGGTGAAAGTCCATCACAGGTAACCGTGCATAGAAAAAAAAAACAGCATATAGAGTTCAGAACTATCTGTGCTTTCAGAAATCCACTGGATCATCCACTGGGGAGCTTGGTATCTATCCCCCAGGGATATGGAGAAAGGTTACTGTATATTTCTTTTTGATTTCCTCAAAGTAGTTTTTTATGGGACTGTCTTTTTATGGAAATTAGTAGAAAAGATTTCAAGGATTTATATGGATAAAATAGAAAAATGAACTGTATGTACTATCATCTACTTCCATCAACTAGCCATAAATGGCAAATCTTGTTTCATCCAACCTAACTCATCTTAATTATTTGTTTGTTTGTTTATTGCCAGTCACAGTGCTTGAATTCAGGCCTGGGCACTGTCCCTGTGATCTTTTGTTCATGCAAATGTTTTAACTTTGAGCCACAATGCCACTTCCAATTTTTGAGTAGTAAATTGGAGATAAAAGACTATTATTTTATTTATTTGTTTTGTCGGTCATGGGGCTTGACCTCTGGGCCTGGGCACTGTCCCCCAGCTCTTCAGCTTAAGGCGAGCGCTCTACCACTTGAGCCACAGCGCCACTTCTGGCTTTTTCTGCTTATGGGTGCTGAGGAATCGAACCTAGGGCCTCATGCAAGCAAGACAAGCACTCTACCACTGAGCCACCTTCCCAGCCCTTACTACCTTATTTTAAAATAAATCCCTTATTTTTCATCAGTCATGGGGCTTGAACTCTCGGCCTGGGCACTGTTCCTGAGCTTAGCTCAAGGCGAGCATTCTACCACTTGAGCCACAGTGCCATTTCCACTTTTTGGTGGCTAATTGGAGGTAAGAGTAGGACTTTCCTGCCCAGGCTGGCTTTGAACTGCAATTCTCAGATCTCAGCCTCCTGAGTAGCTAGGATTATAGGCATGAGCCACTGGCGCTCAGCTATAAAATATTTTAACTATGGCCGGGTGTCGGTGGCTCATGTAATCCTAGCTACTCAAGAGGCTGAGATCTGAGGATCATGGTTCAAAGCCAGCCTGGGCAGGAAAGTCCGTGAGACTCTTATCTCCAATTAACCACCAGAAAACCAGAAGTGGTGCTGTAGCTCAAGTGGTAGAGCGCTAGCCTTGAACTGAAGAGCTGAAGGACAGCACTCAGGCCCAGAGTTCAAGCCTCACGACCAACAAAATAAAAAAATAAAAAATAAAATAAAATAAATTTTTTAACTATGTATATCCTTAAAAGATAATTTTTTAAAGTATAACAATGAAGCTATTATTCCTAAAACAAACTTTCTGCCACATTTTGGGCCATAAAAATTACATTAAATAGTTAAGATATTTAAATCAAGATCCAATTTGACATGTCTCAAATTTCCTCTCCTGCTTTCCCTTTTTATTTTTATAAAACTAGATTGCCACGGAGCTGGGAAGTTGGCTCAGTGGTAGAGCGCTTGCCTTGCATGCATGAGGCCCTGGGTTCGAGTCCTCAGCACCACGTAAGCAGAAAAAAGCCAGAAGTAGTGCTGTGGCTCAAGTGGTAGGGCCCTAGCCTTGAGCTGAAGAGCTGAGGGACAGTGCCCAGGCCCAGAGTTCAGCCCCCACAACTGGCAAAAAAAAACCCAAACAACTAGATTGCCAGGCACTGGTGGCTCATGCTTATAATCCTAGCTACTCAAGGAGGCTGAGATCTGAAGAGGGCAGTTCAAAGCCAGCTGGGCAGGAAAGTCCATGAGACTCTTCTCTCCAACATACCACTTCCAGAAAAACTGGAAGTGGAGCTGTGGCTCAAAGTGGTAGAGTGCTAACCTTAAGTGAAAGAGCTCAGGGACAGGGCCTAGGCTCTGAGTTTAAGCCACACTACTGACATACACTAAAAAGGAAAAAAACAATGCTTGATAAGAAATGTACTCATTATCTTGCCCATGTAATTGAACCCCTCTGTACAGTATTTTCCACAATAAAAAAAAAGAGAGAGAAAAGAAGAAAAGAAAAAAGGAAAAAAACTAGATCATGTGACTAGCAGAACTTGTGACATTTTGGATTTTCCCTATTCTAACCCCACGGTGTTGTTTAATATGTCCTATAATCCCTGTATTTCCTGAAAATTAGACTTACAGGCTTAATCAAATTTAGGTTCAATTTTTTTGGCAAAAATATTTCATTAGTTGGTACTATATACTTTTACAACATTGATTTCAGATTACTTTGTAAAATCAGTGTAAATACGTATTAAAAGAAATCTCCATCTCAGTATCTGTGCATCCACAAAATCCCAAGGACTTTCTGAGATATACTCATTGAGTAGTAAATACTTACTGAGCATCTACATGAAGGCAGTTTTTGCATACTAATGTATTTCCAAAAGAAAGCCTGCCTTCATTGAGTAAGTATTTTGGATGTAGTAAATAGGAGAAAAAAAAGAATAGTGATTTAAAAAAAAAAAAAAAGCTAGGCACTGGTGGTTCACTCCTGTAATCCTGGAGCTGAGGAGGTTGACCTCTGACGATCGCAATTTGAAGCCAACCTGGACAGGAAAATCCATGAGACTTACATCTCCAATTAACCTACAAAAAAGCCAGAAGTAGAGTTCTGGCTGAAGTGGTAGAGGGTTATTCTTAAGCAAAAAAATCTCAGGGACAGTGCCCAGGCCCTGAGATCAAGTCTCATGAACAGCATGCATGCATATATGTGTGTGTGTGTGCGCGCGTGCATGCAAACACACAAAGAAAAGAAAGAAAAGAAGAAAGCAGATAGAAGGGTCATGGAATACAATGAGTGTGTTCTGAATGTGAGCTTTAGAAACAGATTCTGGGTGGAAAAGTCCAGGCAGGATATCAATGAAGAGGTAACCTAGCAGTGTGAAAGGAATGTAGTTTTGTCATTACATGTGTAACTGCTTAGAAAAGGTTCACAAGAAAAGCTGGCGAACAATAACCTTGTTGTAAAGGGTTTCGTAATAAAACTCTTATAACCATGGGTTTTCTGACCCAGTACAGAGGCAATAAAAAGAAAAACACTAGACTAAGTCAAAAGGCTGAGTTTCCACTACCAACTCTTAACTGTATTTTTTTTTGTCTCCACTACCAACTCTTTATTAGCAGAGTACCTATTCAGGCTAAGCATTCTACTTCTGCTTTCTTCTGTCTCTCACCTGGCAGTTATTATGAGAATAAAAACAATCCAAACAAAGAGAATTCCCATTTGTGACTAAATCACTATTTGAGACATGCTAGAGATCAAAGAAATTCTTAGTAAAAGAGAAATTGGATTTAGCTCAGATACCAGATGGCTTGCTTTCTCACCACTGACTCAATTCCGAAATAATTATATTTCAGTATGGTAATTATAATCTAAGCTATACAAACACATTGTAAACACAAACTTGAACAGATTTAAACTACAATATGTAAAGAGGTGCCTGGCATTGGTGGCTCATTGCTGTTATCCTACCTACTCTGGCCCTAAATTCAAGCCCCATGATCAGCATACACACGCATATACACACCTGCATATACATACACACACATACACATATATACACACACACACAATAAAAAGGTAATGACTATTGAAAGAAGAGCTTCAAGATGGACCAGAAATGAAAAGAATAAAACAAATTATAATGTTCCCTCCTATAGGTACCGGTAAGAGTAAGAATTTACTATAAAAGTAACTCAAGAGCCAGGTGCCGGTGGCTCACACTTGTAATCCTCCTAGCTACTTAGAAGGCTGAGACCTGAGGATCCCAGTTCAATGCCAGCCTGGGCAGCAAAGTCTGTGAGACTCTTATCTCCAATTAATCACCAGAAAACCAGAAGTGGTGCTGTGACTCAAGTGGTAGAGTAGTCATCTTGAACTGAAGAGCTCAGAAACAGCGCTTGGGCCCAGAGTTGGAGCCCCACAACAACAACAACAACAAAAAGTTGTGTTGTGTTTATGTGTGTGTTGGTCCTGGGACTTAACCTCAGGGCCTAGTAATCTCACCTCAGCTTTTTGGCTTATTGTGATTCAAAGCCAGACCAGGCAGAAAAGTCTGTGAGACTCTTATCTCCAATTAACCACCAGAAAACCAGAAGTGGAGCTGTGGCTCCAAATGATAGAATGCTAGCCTTGAGAGAAACAGCTCAGCGACAGCTTCCAGGCCCTGAGTTCAAGCCCCATAACTGACAAAAAAAAAAAAAAGTGAAACTTGGGCACTAGTGATGGCTCACACCTGTAATCCTGCTACTCAAGAGACTGAGATCTGAGGATTATGGTTAAAAGCCAGCCTAGGCAGAAAAGTCTGTGAGATTCTTTTTTTTTTTGGGTCCGGTCATGGGGCCTGAACTCTGGGCCTGGGCGCTGTCCCTCAGCTCTTCAGCTCAAGGCTAGCGCTCTTCCACTTGAGCCACAGCGCCACCTCCGGCTTTGGAATCGAACCCAGGGCCTCATGCATGCAAGGCAAGCGCTCTACCACTGAGCCACCTTCCCAGCCCCAAAGGTTTTTCTTTCTTTATTTTATTTATCAGTCATAGGGTATGAACTCTGGGCCTGGGCGCTGTCCCTCAGCTCCTCAGCTCAAGGTTAGAGCCCTACCACTTGAGCCACAGCACCACTTCTGGCTTTTTCTTCTTATGTGGTGCTGAGGAATCGAACCTAGGGCCTCATGCATGCAAGACAGGCACTCTACCACTGAGCCACTTTCCCAGCCTGTCTGTGAGACTCTTATCTCCAATTACTACAAAAAGCTGGAACTAGAGGTGTGGATCAAGTAGTAGAGAGCTAGCCTTGACCACTAAAAGCTCAAGGACAGCACCTAGACCCAGAGTTCAAGCTCTACAAATGGCAAAAAAAGAAAAAGAAAGAAAGAGCTAGTTTAAAGCCCAACACTTGGGGATAAGAGGATTAAAGATTTGAGACAACTGTCTCAAAGAAAGAAAAAGAAAAAGGAATGTAAGATATTAAATCAACAGTTGATTGAAAATTTAAAAACACCAACTTGGCAGTAGCTTTCATTTTTACATCGTTAAGTATCAAATGTTTTTAATTGATGGTTTAATTTGCCAGAATGAGAAAGAACATTACGTTTTTATGACAATCTCTTGGGAATGTAAGATAAATGGACCCAAATGACATAGTATAGAAGATGTTATGATCACTCTTTATAATTATCTTCAGTAAATCTTATGCTTTTCAAAAGCAATCTTTTCCTACAGTGTTATTTTTTGCTTCCCTGGTTCTGATATTTCATAAATTAGGATGTAAATCTCTTTTAGCTCTTTTGTTTTTATTTAGCTGAAATGTTGAGGGATAGGGAAAAGATGATTACTTACAAATTTGTATCTCTGAGAACACAATTTGCATTTTCCTTCATCTTACTAGCTTGACTCTGTATGTGAAAAACAACTTTCACAAAGCACAAAGGCAAATTTACTCTTCACTGAGGCTATTTCTCAACTATTGCCAAGCAATAACTATCATCATATTAAAACAAAAATAGGGCTGGGTATAGTTTCATGTTAAGCACATACTTAACATACAAGAGGCTCTGGGTTCAATGAATAATAAACTATAAAAGGAACTATAAAGAAACAATTGAGTTTACCATTAATTTAGTATATTAAGCGGTTATTATGTCTTAGGGACTAAAGGTAACAAAAACTATCTGTATGAAGTTTATATTCTGTGAGGATGGAGAAAAAGGATGAACAAATTGGTAGTCAGATAGTATCAAATATAACAGAGAACACTAAAGCTGAAAAACAGCATAAGGAATGTTGCAACTGAAAATAGTAGTATCTGAAGACATCTCTTTGAAGGGTAGTATTTGAATCAAAATTTTCAAAGGATGTACTTAATGACTATTAAAATAGAAGAGGAGAAGAAAGGCACTAATTCTAATGTTCCTTTCTAACTTTCAACCAAGATATTCTCACATATGGATTTCCATTTATTTTGTATATTTTAGTGAAACTGTAAAGATCATCTAATGACTCTTTGGGGTTCTTAACCTTCATTGTACTCTGGACTCCCTTCTCAGAGCCATTTGTTCATTCATTCATTGTGTTATGGATTAAACCCAGGGCCTAAAGTATGCTAGTGCTCTACTACTGAACTATAGCCTTAATCCTGAGGTATGCATTTAAATATATATTTTTTTTGGGGGGGTCCGGTCATGGGGCCTGAACTCTGGGCCTGGGTGCTGTCCCTCAGCTCTTTAGCTCAAGGCTAGGGCACTACCACTTGAGCCACAGCGCCATTTCCGGCTTTTATCTTTTTGCTTATGTGGTGCTAAGGAATGCATGCAAGGCAAGCACTCTACCACTGAGTCACCTTCCCAGCCCCATTTTTTTTTTTAAATAACAAACTAATCCCCAAGCTGCCCAGTGGTGGCTCATGCCTATAATCCTAGCTACTGAGTAGGTTGAGATCTGAAGATTGTGGTTCAAAGCCAGCCTAGGCAGACGAATCTCCAAATAACTAGCAAAAAAGTGAGGGTTGTGGCTCAAGTGGTAGAGAGAGCACTACCTGTGAACGGAAAAAGCCACGCCAGAGCAAGAGGCCCCAAGTTAAGCTCAGTACTGGGACATACACAAAAACAAAATACTTAATTCCTAAGGGTCTTGGAGGGTCTATAAATTAAATGTCAAAACATATAGATGATTTGTTTTTGTTTTGCAGGGTGTTGGTCTAAGGACTTGAACTTAAGGCCTGGGCACTGCTCCTGAGTGTTTTTTTAGCACAAGGTTAGTGTTCTACCACTTGAGCCACTCCTCCACTTCCAGGTTTGTTTGGTGCTTAATTGGAGATAAAGAGTCTCATGGCCTTTCTGGCTGGCTAGCTTTGAACTGTGATCCTCAGATCTCAGCTTCCTCAGTAGCTAGAATTACAGGCATGAGACACTGGTGTCCAGCTCAAAATAGTTTTAGAATTGAAAGAAAAGCCTAAATGACACTCAATTTAAATCAGACTTCTGTCCTAATCCAGACAATTTGTGGACTGGAAAAGAAACTCTGTGTGCTAAAGAAGGATGAAAGGAGGAAGTAAGGAGAGTAAAAGGAGTAGTTTTCTATATTTTTAAATCTCTTTGGTTAAAATTTTAGCAATCTGAGCTTAAGATTTACTGCATATTTTTTTCCTTAGTATATAAGGTCAACTCTATTCATTTGTTTAAACAATAAGCAAGAATCCCAAATTAATAAATTATTGTGTTGACTTACCATATTGGACACTCTAAGATTTTCTGCATAGCATTAAGGACATGCTGTACTTCTTCAATTTGAGCTAAAGACGAATCCATTTCTTTCTGTTCCAACTTTAACACATAAAATTTAAAGTACATGTAAACAGACTGCTTTAAAAAGTTTTAAACTAAGCAGGTTATCTACTATTCCTAAATAAGAGACATTTAAGATTGGAGTTCTTCAGAATTATACCAACCTCAGAACTGACAATATCATTTTATTTTATTTATTTATTTATTTTTTTGTCGGTCGTGGGGCCTGAACTCTGGGCCTGGGCACTGTCCCTCAGCTCTTCAGCTCAAGGCTAGCGCTCTACCACTTGGGCCACAGCACCACTTCCGGCTTTTTTCTTTTTATGTGGTGCTGAGGAATTGAACCCAGGGCCTCAGGCATGCAAAGGCAAGCACTCTACCACTGAGCCACATTCCCAGCCCTCATTTTTTTTTTAAAAAGAAAATTCTAGCCAGGTGATTGGTGGCACAAGGCTGTAATCCTAGCTACGCTGAGATCGGAGGATCAAGGTTAGAAGCCAGCCCGCATAGGAAAGTTCATGAAACTCTTTTCTCCAATTAACTATCAAAAAAGCCATTATTGGATCTGTGGCTCAAGTGACAAAGTGCTAGTCTTGAGGAAAACAAAACTTCAAGGGCAGTGCGTAGGCCCTGATTTCAGGCCTCAGTACCAACACAACACAAAATCAAATCTCTAGCCAACATTTCCCTGACCTTCTTTAACTTTCTCTATTGGTTTCCCAATAGCCTCATCTCCGGATCCTCACCAAAAGCATCTCTCCAGAAGCACCTGTTACTACAATCGCCCCTCTCCATACTTCCTTCTAGAACCTTTCGAAAAACGTTTATGGATCCACTTGTGTACTGATCCTGGAGCTTGAACTGGCCTTGGGTGCTTTCCCTGAGATTCTCGAGTTCAAAGCTAGCGCTCCACTTGCTGGCTTTTTGGCGGTAATTGGAGATAAGGGTCTCAAGTACCATTGATGCCCGGGTTGGCTTGGAACCACGATCCTCAAATCTCAGACTCCAGCATAGCTAGTATTACAGGCGTGAGCTCTCTTTCGCAAAGTCTTGTCTGCTTCCCTTGCAACAGACATCCCTTCCCCCTTCTTCCTCTTGGTGTCCTCTTGGAGGAAAACACCATATCCTCTTTCTTATCCCCAGAACTCCTTCAGTGAGCCACAAACTATCCCTCCCCCGGGATTTCTGTCACATATACGTCTTAGGCCCCTCAGGTTCCAATCTTCCGTAGCCTCCTTCAGAAGACCGCCCTCCTTACACCAACTTTCCTGCTTGCCCCAGGGGCAACGTTTGGGCCTAACTCCCTACCCCAGGTCTCTTGGCTCTTGCACCTTCGCCCAGAGAAAAACATGTAGGCTCCTAGGATCCCAGATATCTTCGGAACGTCTTCAGCAAACAACGTCTCAGCAGGATCACTGTGTGGCGCAGTCGCAAATACAATTTATCTGTAATTCCCGCGCTTTCAGTCGTCACGGAAACCAGCTGCTTTACCGTTAAGCAACAGCCTCTAGGAACACTGGATCAAGACACGTTAGCGGAAGGGCGGAGTAAAATAAGCCGAGTCTTTCGGCGTTCATGATTGGTCGCTCATTCTGACTATCAATGACGTAATCAAAAAGAGACTGAAGGATAAGTAATTCTGAATTTTCTCTTAAGCACCCGCCCCCTCGCCTCAACGCTTCCGGTTGAGGCTTATTACGTCCAAGTAATGGAGGGAATTGCCCCTTGAGAAAGCGGTATGAGCTCAAGATAGTACCAAAAGCGGTCGCCAGAACAGGCCTTTCTGCCTGCACTGGATGCCTCCAGTTTAGATTAATAAAAGAATGTGTGGGGGACTGGGAAGGTGACTCAGTGGTAGAGTGCTTGCCTTACACGCATGAGGCCCTGGGTTCGATTCCTCAGCACCACATAAGCAGAAAAAAAGCCAGAAGTGGCGCTGTGGCTCAAGTGGTAGAGCGCTAGCCTTGAGCTGAAGAGCTGAGGGACAGTGCCCAGGCCCAGAGTTCAGGCCCCACGACCAACAAATAAGAATGTGTGTGTGTGCGTAAACCTAAGCTTTCCAGCACGCACTGCAGGACGAAAAGCTTTTGTCAGTGTTTCTTGTCTAATGGACGAGAGCTTCCGACATTGGGAGCAGGCACGACTCTCACGGCAACCGGGTTGATTAACCTGGAGACTTCCTCAGGGTTAAGCGCGTCAACAGCTATGGACTGGAGTGTTGTGTTTTCGTTTCGTGCAAGCAGAACATAGGCTAGAGAACCTGAGAAGTCCTATAATTCCCATCGAGTCCTCCAAAGGCCAGTGACCTAAGGGAAGGCCGAGGGCGTCCACTCAGCTGGGAAAGGGAAATCCGCCCCGGCTCACGTCTGCGCACTTGAAGTTCCACCCCCTCGGCCCCTGTGTTTATTATTGTTGTACGGCTCACTTAGCTTCTGCCCCACCCCTCCAACGCATCTTCAACCAATCAATAGGGTGATGATTTTGAAGGACGTGTTGTAAAAGCCAATCATCTTGTCGGAAGTTCGGGGAAACAAGGGACTAGGTCCTGTCTCTATCCGCCATGTTAGATTCGCCCCGCAGGGATAGCAGCCGAACTGGCCGCGAACGGTCTTTGCACTGGCCACAGGCAGGCGCCCCCCGGGGGCGAGAAGCTGGTAAGGAAGTGGCTACGGTTACCCACGGGTGGGGTTTAGTCGCTCTTCTAGGACTTTGCGGGGGGCGGGGGAGAGATTAAAGGGAGAAATCTTTTTAAGAGGGGGGGATTTTTTTTCCCCCTGTCTAGGGTAGCCAATCTTTCAGTGACCAGATTGAAAAAAAAAGCCGTTCGTGTGGTGAGGGACCGTGGCGGTGGATAGCACGAGAGGGTTGGAGAGACTGTGGCTCTGAACGCCTGGTTTCTGATGGGAGGTCAAAATTCCTCAGTACAGAAAGAGGGCCTAGGCAAAGAAAACGAGTCTTCGGGGATTGTGACACTGTCTTGGAGGGAATGAAGTGCTAGGAAATGGCAACTATGGGACATGACATTACCCCCACACAATCTTCTCGTTTTGAGACCATCTTAAAGAGATCTTCGTCTGGCACCAATTTTGATGTTGGAAAGGCCCTGATTTTCCATTTTGTCAGATATCCAGCTTTCAGGTCACACTCTCCCCATCGATTCCCGCTCTTCCCCGCCTTCCCCAAGGACTGGGATTAAACCTATGGTAGGCCCTGACACTCTACCATTTGAATTAGACTCCGGGCCCAAGTCACCCATTTTTAAAGCCTAGAGAGCTCAAGTTCCCAAGTCTGCTTCTTTAAAGGTATTTGTTGCAACTTAAATCATAGAAGAAAAGCTGATTTGTGCTAAATGAAGGTGAGTCAGGAGTGTTAAAAAATAAATGCTAAAGGCTTAGGCCCCCAACCTGATTGCTGACTGTAAACCTACCGGAACCGATGGTCCTAACTATAATTTTGATACTCCCCACAAGTTCAAGATTAATGCTGTTGCTGAAAGAATTTCCACATGGAAGCCAAAAGAGAGGCAGATTTTTATATGTAAGCCAAACAGAGATAAGCAGTTCTTTATGAATACTTGGATGTGGTCCAGCTAAGCTAGAATTTCCCACTTCCTGTTTTCTCTCATTGGCAAGCCTGCTGGATGAACTCCAAAGTACCTAAACTAATTTCCATTTGTGTAATTTGAAGGAAAAAAGGAAGATTAGTTTCCTTTCAGACTCAAAAATGTGGAAGTTTCTAGAAGTTAGAAAATGAGAATCTATTTCAGAATGTTCACTTTTAGCAGACTGAGTCAGTCACTTCTCTGACTTTTTTTTGCCCAATATCCCATGGTGGGGTGGGGGGCTGGCAAGGATTCTGTCCAAATCTTAAGGACTCCAGAAATTGCTTTCCATGTGAATAAATATTGGATAGCATCAGGATTGGTTTCTAGGGACCAGTATTATTTTGGCAGTAAACTTTAGGTGAAGTCAAAGAATGGGAAAAAAAAATCAGTATCCATGAGAATTCAGGTTCTTAAGATGACAATCTCAATTATATTCATTGTGCAGTAGACTATTTAAAACTTTAAGGGTTTTTTTTGTTACTGTTGTTTTGTTTCTTTTGCCATGGAGCATGATCTTGGCTCAGGTGCTGTTCCTGCACCTTTTTTGCTCAAGGCTAGCCCTCTGCCACTTAGAGTCACAGCTCTACTTCTGTTTTTTTTTTTTTTTTTTTTTGTGGCTAATTGGAGATAGTCTCATGACTTTCCTGCCCTGGGCTTGCTTTGAACCAAGATCCTCAGATCTCAGCCTCCTCAGTAGTTATGATTACAGGCATGAGCCACCAGCACTGGGCTCTATTTTTAAGTCTTAAGGCATGGTTGTTAAAATTCTTAGATTTCAGTAATGGTTTCAGAGAATTTATACACTGTGTGTGGTGTGTATGCGTGTGGCTGGGAATTGAACCTTTTACACACTGGCACTCAATTTACCAATTAGCCACACTCCCAGTTTCCTCACCCACTTTTTTTTTTAATCCTTTCAATAACATTGTGAAAGAGGCAAAGCAGAGTTATTAGCCTTGTTTTACAGATTAAATAACTGAAGCTCAGAGGTTTATTGACTTGCCTGCCCAAAGTTACACAGTTAATACCATGCCATAGATGTATCTGGAACCCAAGTCTTCCCATCTCTTGGGTTCACTCCCCATAATACAGGAAACTTAATCCTATTCATCTCTTATATACTGTGCCTAGAGCAAAATGGGCTTTCTGTAGCTGCAGCTTAAAAATACTTGATAATGACCAGGTGAAGTGGATCATGTCTGTAATCCTAGCTACTCTGGAGGCAGAGATCCATCCATGCAGAGTCATTCCTGAGCAAAAATTTCATGAGACCTCCTCCCCCCACACACACACATCTGAACCAATAGCTGAGTGTAGTGATGCACACCTTCATTCTAGCTGTGAAGTTAGGCTGAGATCAAGAAGATTAAGGCTCCAGGTCTGCCTGAGCAAAACAGTTCATGTGACTACATCTTAACAGAAAAAGCTGAGTATGGTGCTACATTTGTCATCCCAGCTAAAGAGAGAAGTGCAAATTAGGATACCAGTCTACTCTAGGCAGAGTGAGCTAATCATAAAAATAACTAGAGCAAATAGATATTAAGATGTCGCTCAAGTAGGTGAGTGCTCAGCAAATGTCAAGTCCTGAGTTCAAGCTCCAGTGCTGGAATACAGATTGTATGTGTGTATCTGTGTTTAAAAGCTGATATTTTTCCATGAAAACTTACGTTGTATTGGAATAGCTTAAACTACTTTTTCATAAAGTCATAGAAATAAACCAAGACAACAAAGAGAATTAATTGGTAAACAAATCTTTAATTAAAAATAAATAAGAGGGGGGGCTGGGAAGGTGGCTCAGTGGTAGAGTGCTTGCCTTGCATGCACGAGGACCTGGGTTGGATTCCTCAGCACCACATAAGCAGAAAAAGCTGGAAGTGGCACTATCGCTCAAATGGTAGAGCGCTAGCCTTGAGCTGAAGAGCTGAGGGACAGTGCCCAGGCCCAGAGTTCAGGCCCCACAAGCAACAAAATAAACAAAGGAACTGGTGGCTCATGCATATAATCCTACTACTCTGTAGGCTGAGATCTTAAGGAACACAGTTCAAAGCCAGCCTGCGCAGAAAAGGCTGGGAAACTTTTATCTCCAATTAACCATCAGTAAGCTGGAAGTGGAGCTGTGCCCTGAGTTCAAGGATCATGACGGGGATGGGGGGGGAGCACTTAGTGGTAGAGTGCTTGCCTAGCATGCATGAAGCCCTGGGTTTGATTCCTCAGAACCACAGAAACAAAAAGCCAGAAGTAGTGATGTGGCTCAAATGGTAGAGTGCTAGCCTTGAGCAAAAGAAGCTCAGAGAGAGTGCCTTGGTCCTGAGTTCAAGCCCCAAGACTGGCAAAATAAAAAAATTTAAAAAAAGAAAAGAAAAAATTAGCCAGGCAATGGTGGCTCACACCTGTAATCCTAGCTACTCAGGAGGCTGAGATCTCAGGATTAAGTTTTGAAGCCAGCTTGGGCAGGAAAGTCCCTGAGACTCTTATCTCCAGTTAATCAGCAAAGGAGCTATAAGTGAAACTGTGACTCAGATGTTAGAATGCTAGCCTTGAGCAAAAAAGCTGAGGGACAGCACCAGGCTCTGAGTTCAAGCCCCAGGACTGGCAGAATAAATGAATACATAAGTCTGATAGAGCACCTGCCTGAAAGCTTGAGGCACTGAGTTTAAATTCCAGGAAACATACGTTTCCCCTTCAAAAAAAAAGTTTAACCTTAGTAGATTTTAGTTTTTGTATTTTTTGTGTTAGTACTGGGGCTTGAATATTCAGGGTCTCTGGCCTTGAGCTCTTGAGTTCTAGCTTTTTGCTGGTTAATAATTGGAGATACAAGTTTATTGGATTTGTCTGCCTGGTTAGCTTTGAACCTCAGTCCTCAGATCTCAGCCTCCTAAGTAGCTAGGATTATAGACACAAATCACAGGTGCGCTGCTGTGGCATACTGTTTATTGTGGGTTATTTTAATGTCTTTTAATTATTTATAGATTTATAAATGTCTTGGGAGCTAGAGATAGTGGCTTAGTGATTGAGCAGCAGCTTGCCTGGCATGCCACAGGCCTTGTGTTCTATCCCCAGTACCATATATATATACATTCAAATAATAATAAGGAAGGGGTATTGCTAACAATAAAATTAGTTCTGAGTTGGAAATTGTGAAAGCTAGCTGATAGATGCACAGGGATAGATACTGTCTTTACTGTCATATAGCTTTTAATTTTCCCTTAACAAATACATTGTGGCTTTTTGCTTAGTTTTACTCTACTTTGTTTTTTGTTTGCTTGCGTGTTTTTTTGGGGGGTTGGTACTGAGGAGGTTTGAACTTATAACATATTGTTAGTCAGGCACTCTACTGCTGAGACATGCCTCTAGCTTGTTTTGTTTGAGACAGGTACTCACTGTGTAGTCTAGGTTAGCCTAGAACTTAGCGTGTAGCTTATGCTAACGCAAAATTCTCTTCCTTGGGCTGGGAAGGTGGCTCAGTGGTAGAGCGCTTGCCTTGCATGCCTGAGGCCCTGGGTCCGATTCCTCAACACCACACAAGCAAAAAGAAAAAAGCCAGAAGTGGCGCTGTGGCTCAAATGGTAGAGCGCTAGCCTTGAGCTGAAGAGCGGAGGGACAGTGCCCAGGCCCAGAGTTCAGGCCCCACGACCGGACCAAAAAAAAAAAAATTCTCTTCCTTCTGCTTCCTGAGTACTAGTGTTACAACAGGCATGTGCTACTGTGTCCAGCTAGAATCCTTGTTTGTTTTATTTATTTTGATATTTTCTTCTGTGAGTACTTAGCTAACCTAGTTCCCTCCTCCCCCTTCCTAGGGCTTGAACTCCGTCTATCCCTGAGCTTCTTTTGCTCAAGAGTAATATACTATATGAACCACAGTGCCACTTCTGGCTTTTTCTGAGTAGTTTTTGCAGATAACAGTCTCATGGACTTTCCTGCCTGGGCTGGTTTTAAACCTCAGATCTCAGCCTCCTGAGTAGCTAGGATTACAGTCATGAGACACTGGCTCATAGAACCATGTTCTATAAAATACAGTAAAAGCAAAACTGCACAACTGAGTCAGGTGCTGGTGACTCATGCCTGTAATCTTAGATACTCACAAGGCTGAAATATTAGGATCGTTGCTTGAAGCCAGCCCAGTCAGGAAAGCCTATGAGATCAGACTCTTCTATCTTTGATTAACCACCAAAAATGACAGAAATGGAACTCTGGCTCAAGGGGTAACGTCCTAGTTTTAAGCAGAAAAGCTAAGGAACAACACCTAGGTCCTGAGCTCCAGCCTTAGTACTGGCACCAAAAAAAAAAAAAGGCAGTAAAAATCCTTAGAGCCGGGCACTGGTGGCTCACACCTATAATCCTAGCTACTTAGGAGACTGAGATGTGAGGGTCTCGGTTCCCCAAGCCAGCCTGGGCAGGAAAGTCTGTAAGACTCTTACCTCCAATAAACCTCTTAAAAAACTAGAAGTGGCTCTGTGGCTTACATGGCTAGCCTTGAGCTGAAGAGATGAGGGACAGTGCCCTGGCCCAGAGTTCAAGCCCCACGACCAACAAAAAAAGAAAAAAGCCAGACACGGTGGCTCACACCTGTGTCCTAGCTTCTCTGGAGGCTGAGATCTAAGGACCTCAGTTCAAAGCCAGCGTGGGCAGGAAAGTTTGTGAGATTCTTAGCTCCAATAAACCACTAGAAAACCAGAAGTGGCACTGTGGCTCATGCGGTAGAGTGCTTGCTTTGAGCTGAAGAGTGCCGGGAAAGAGCCCAAGCCCAGAGTTCAAGCCCCATGACTGACAAAAAAAAAAAAAAAATCCTTAGAAATTTTAAAATGCTAGATTGATTTTGTAAGTATGGTCACAATATAAATTCTCTTAGCAAACTACTTTTTTTTTTTTAATTGGTGGTGGGGCTTGAACTCTGAGCCTGGATGCGTCCCTGAACTCTTTGGCTCAGGGCTAGCACTCTATCACTTGAGCCGTAGTACCACTTCTGGTTTTCTGGTGGTTAATTGGAGATGAATCTCTCAGACTTACCTTGCCGATACTTACCTTGCCGATACTGTCTTTAAACAGTGATCCTCAGATCTCAGCCTCCTGAGTAGCTATGATTTCCAGGTGTGAGTCACCAGTGCCTGGCTTTTTTTTTTTTTTTACAAGATTTTACTAAGTTACTCCAGCTGACTTTTTTTAAATTTTATTTATTTGCTTATTTTTTTCCCATCGTGCGGTCTGAACTCTGGGCCTGGGTACTGCCCCTCAGCTCTTCAGCTAAGGCTAGCGCTCTACCACTTGAGCCATAGCACCACTTCTGGCTTTTTTCTGCTTATGTGGTGCTGAGGAATCGAACCCAAGGCCTCATGCATGCAAGGCAAGCAATCTACCACTGAGCCACCTTCCCAGCCGAGGCTTCTATCCCCTCCCATCCCCCACAGTCCAGCTGACTTTAAACTGGGGGGCTTAAGCAATCTTCTTGTCCCATTCTCTGGAATACTTAAGACTACATGTGTGTGCCACACTGCCTGGCTTAACTTATTTTTAGTGTAAAATATCCTGATAACCTTAATAATAGTTAAATAACAGTTGTTGTGGCTTGTTTAAATACAAATCTTTATAGCACACTGAGCACAAATATCTTTATTTCTTAGAAGAAACAATTCTTAGCTAGGTGCCAGTGGCTCACATTTGTGAGGATCACAGTGCAAAGCCATCCCACGCAGGATAATCCTTGAGACTCTTATCTCTAATTAACTACCTAAAAGGCTGGAAGCGAAGCTGTGGTCCAAGTGGTAGAGCATTAGCCTTGAGCAAAAACGCTCAGGGACAGCTCCCAGGACCAGAAAAAAAAAAAAAAGTTTCCTATTTAACAGTGAGCTTTAAACTATATACAAATTCTGAAAAAAACCATTGCAAATTCTGAAAGAGAATTGTTTCTCATTTGCTGCTATCTCCCAAGCCTCATCCATTTTAGGTCTTTTTTTTTCCATTTTAAATCTTTACAATGTTTGTTGAGTGACTATTTCTTCAATTTATAGAATCTTTCTAATGTGTTTTCTCCCCACCCTACCCCTCTCTGTTTCTCCTCTACCTATCCTCTTAACTCCAGCCCTAAGCATGGAACTACAGGTTACTCTAAATGTGACTTTCAAAAATGAAACTCAAAGCTTTTTGGTTTCGGATCCAGAAAATACAACTTGGGCTGATGTTGAGGCTATGGTAAGTATTTGTTTTATTTCTCAATGGTTTAAGCGCAGATGTGTTTTCCAAAGGTCACTGATTTTTAGCAGTATTATTGTCATAGTATTTGTATTGAAGATATCCCCTTATGCAAGCAAATAAGTACCTTTTGAGAAATTCAGAAAGGGAAGGTAAAATTATTACATGAGGAAGTGGTGCTGTGGCTCAAATGGTAGAGCGCTCGCCTTGAGCTGAAGAACACAGGGACAGCGCCCAGGCCAAGAGTTCAAGTCCCACAATCGACAAAAAAAAAAAAATTGAAATTATTACGAGAGATGGGATTTAGAAACCCTATTTATTTTAGAAACAGCTGAGAAATGAATTGCCGAGGGCCTCACTCCAATTAAGCCTCAGGAGAATATTCTCTTGCTTGAAAACAGATAAATTACTTTTGTTTGTGAACTGCCAGGAATATGACTTGTTTTTCAGGAGCCTATCAATTGTAAATTGCCAGATGAGAGGTTAGGTATTTCAGAATTGCCCAGAAAAAAAAAAAAAAACTCCCACAGATGCTTAGACAGCAGTCCATCTGTTCCTTTCTTTGCTAATGCTTTTCTTCATTTTCATTTGCCCTTTGTACTCACCGATTTTGTTGGGTTTGTAGTGGTCAGTGTTTCACTTCTTGCACATGTGTATTTATCTAATGTAGTCCTTTGGCTAAAAACCTGCCTTTACCTGGTTATTATCTGTGATGTTAACTGAAAAAGAAAATGAGGGGGAGGTGTAGTTGTGCAGATGGGAGGGCAGGGATAGTAGGGAAAAAACAAAGGAGGAGGCAACAACACTTGATAAGAAATGTACTTATTATCTTGCTCATGTAATTGTAACCCCTCTGTACTGTATTTTCACAATAAAAAAAACTTACTTAAAAAAAGAAAAGAAAAGAAAATGGTGTAGAGATGTTAAATGTGATCTGATCTAGTCCTCTGCCTTTCAACAGGTATCTCTATATCTTAAACAAATGGTGGGCTGGGAAGGTGGCTCAGTGGTAGAGTGCTCACCTTGAAATGCATGAGGTTCAGGGTTTGATTCCTCAGCACCACATAAACAGAAAAAGTCGGAAGTGGCTCTGTGGCTCAAGTGGTAGAGTGCTAG